ATGCAGTTAAAGGCTGCCTTTCAATTCCACTGCACTTTGCTGAGTTCATACAGCATTTACAGATACAGATTCTTTAAAAGGTTTACATTTTATAAATGTCTGTGATAATCTCATTATGATTGCAGGAAGACTGTGTTGTGCATGGCTTTTCATGATTTTTCCACATTGAAGGTTAATTGTTTGGTTGTCATTGGTTTTGGGGGTGTTGTTTTTTTTGTTTGTTTGTTTGTTTGTTTGTTTGTTTTTTGCCTGTATGGCTCTACATTCATCCACAGCTCTGCAGAGCACTCACACGTGTGTTTGGCTTTAAGCTTTTGAATTGCAAGGAAGTCACTTGTGGACAAGCACCTTTTCAATTATACCTCACAGAGTGCAATGGGAAGATCTCTGCTTTTACCTCACATTGTGCTGGGGAGTGTTACATGGAATGACTCCTGCACTTGAATAATCAGCCAGATTTAGCCTATGTGTTCTTCCCTGTAATAATTTTTATTTTAATCTTTGACACTGGAATGCACTGCCTTTTTTTTTTTTCATGTGGTAAGCTGGTCACATGTGCTTTATTACCTTTCCGTTCCCTGTCATCTGCCTAACCTGATTTGCCCTTATTTCTCATCCTTTTTTATGTTGTGTTGATCCAGGGATAAACAAGGACCTTTTTTGTAACGCAGTTTCAGTTCTTCAGCTATCGTTGCTTTAGGAAGACTTGAGTAAGAACTGAAATTTGTGAAGCTAGTGGGCATTTTGCTTTCTTAAAACCAGATATATATTTCAGCTGTGAGATTCATTCCATGGGTAGCCTTAGAAAACACATAAATCTTTCATAAGTTTGTTTATGCTATTTTTAGTACCCCAAATCTGTCATGTACATTGTTGACTCAAAACATGTAGCAAGTACCAAATAATCAAAGACAGAGACAATTTATGATTCTAATGTAGGCTGCAAAGGGGATAGCTAAAGAGTGTATTTGAAAAGTTAGAATTTGGAGGTGGGGGAGAGGTTGGATGTGGCATGAAAGTTGTTCAGAAGCCAGGATGAGAAATTAATTGTTGAATCCACAAGAGACTAGAGAGGCTCCATTAAAATTTCTCAGTTTATATGAAGGAATGCAATTTCAAAGTAATTTCATTAATTCAGTTTAAAATGTTAAATTGAAAGCAATAATGCGTTCCAAAAGGTTTTGTGTAAAATATATCAAATTGATGTATTGAATTTACATGAATTAAGAGAGAACATTGAAGGAAAATTGAAAGCATCAGCACTGTGCCCAATTAAATGAATATCTGTTACAGTAAATGTGTGTAATGTTTTATTATGTAAATACAAATTTAAATTTTAGATCAGCCCTTTCAGTGTGGCCATCTGCAGTAGATACTTATCAAAAGTAAGCCTACAAAAGTAACCTGATGGAAATGGAGGATTACCCTCTATAATAGATGATAACTCCCAGTAGGTATGCCCTGAATACTCAAGGGAAAATTATCTCATAGATTTTCTTTTCTTTTTACCTTCCAGCTCATAGTGCTGTCTAAGCATCATTAGGTATAGTTAATAATTTGTTATACCTCAGTCCTTCAAAAAACAGTCTAGTTTTATCCATCCGTTATTTAATCGTTACTGCTGCACGAATAGGTCACCATTATATAAAATGTTAAAAGAACAGATTCACCAAGCAACAAATACCTTTTAATAAATTTTCTCTTAGATATTCCAGCATTATAATGATGTTCCTTTTTGTTTCTTTTAAGCTAGTCTTCACCTACATTTGTAAATTTTTGTTAAATGATCATTTTTCAGAAAGCCTTGGCAATTAATGGAGATTCTAGCTATGCCTTCAGGTTGAAAGCAAGACTGTAAGGAGGATTCAGAGTGAAGATATCCAAAATCTAAGTGTTCAAAAGACCTGTACCTCAGGTTACCCCTTCTGCCCACATTAAACAAATATTTTCTGTACATTGCTATATTTGTGTTACTAGAATTTCATTACTACAGTATTAAATCCTTAATGAGCTACATTGTTTTAGATAATGCCACCAAGACAAGGCTACCTTAATCTCTGGTGTATTGCTCATTCAGCATTGACACCACTTCAGGTGGTTGTTTTACATTCTACATTTTAGGACAGACAGAGTGCAACTGTTGGTAGGAATCTGAGTGCTAGATGTTGGGGCTCTGGATTTTGGTTGTTAAATATATAGTAATGATAATATAGATCCCTGTTAATCCTGAACAGCTCTACATGGCTTTTATTGATTGTTAGGTAGACCTGACATTTAGTGAAATAAGTCTTGCTTGATGGTTTTTAGCTAATAAGTTGCTAACCACTTTTACAGTCAACAAGGGAATCCCTCATTTTCTTAAATACCTAACTCTTTGATGTAAGAGTCACATTTCTTAGTCATTTGATTATACTTTAGGGCTGTGAAATTCCAATACTGACTGGGTTGATGTCCTAATATTGTAATTACACATCATGAGGCATAATAAAAACATTAAAATGAAATTAATGTGGGAGGAAAATATCATAGTTCAAAACAACTTGTTATCACTAGCATTGACCTTCTTGGTAGATTAATTATTTGGGACATTAAAAGGTGGAAATAACCACTGTCATCTTTGATAAGCAGTGTGCAGGCTGTAGAAATAAAGTTGTCATGAACTTCATATAGATTAGAATGCATCTACAGGATTATTGAAGAATGATCACTGACAGGAAGCCGACATTAGAGAATCTACTGCCTACCAGATTTGCTATCCAGTCCTCTTATTTTGTCAATCTGATAATGAAATATTTCTTGTCTTTGCAATACTCCTTTGCTTAAAGTGGGGTATAAAAAATTTCAGAAGCAGCATGTATCTCACATGAGTTGTTTCTGAAGTAAATTCTATGTGCTTAAGATTTATGAGTGACTTAAAATATGAGCAGATAAAACATAATATTCCCAAAGTATGTGCTATGGGCATACAGTATTCTGTTTTCTTAAGCAAGGGTTCATGCCTTCCTTTTTCTGAAGGGTGGTGCTAAATAAAGTCTAGTCTTCACAGAGATGATCAGAGAAATTAATGCATTTATTTTTTGAGTTGGATTAGCTAAACTGCATCCAACTGTGGGTAGGTTCTCATTCAAAATCAAAATAGCCTTTGTTTAGTGTAGCCTGTTTAACTTTCAAATTAAATTAAAGCAAATGGAATTAAAACTGCTTCAATTCAATGATGTATGTCTACAGAAAGGCTCAGTATAATTTTACCAATGTGCACTGAATTCACAGCTGAAATTCAGAATTAGTTTACCTTGAAGGCAGGAGAATATAAGCATGACTAGTTTGGGAAATTTCTGCTAGCTGGTGATGAACACTGAATCTGCCCTCCCTAGATGTTCAAAGAAACTTCAGCTTCCTCAGTGAAACATGGGCAAAAGCTGCCTTTCCCTTTCTTTCCTTGTTCTGAGATTTCTCTAACAATCAAGGCACAGTTCTGCAAAAAAAAAAAGAAAAAAGTTTAACTCAGATAAATCAGACTTAGCATACCCAAGTTTCTGTACTACTTTCACTGGCATAACTTCACTTAGCAGGCATATTTATTATATAAGTTTATTGAATCTATGCCTTTGTAAGAAAGGCAAGGTTGGTAAGGAAAGGGAGCATTCTATATCAGAGGAAGTGGTACATATGGGAGAAATAAAGTCAAGCAACAAGTGAGAAAGCTAATTGTAAATTACCAATACTGAATAGAATGAATTCCATGCTGCTTAAGAGCACTGTGTGGTTTGTGTACCTCAGTCACTTAGGCACTTTTGCAAAAAAACTGAAAATGTACTTGTTTGAGCAAAGCCAAATTGCTACTGTTCTGCGTTCTGCCCATCACTAATTTATATTAATATTCTACATCAATTTAAGAGGAAAAGATGCGCCTGAAAAGTTATTTGTGTCCTTGAATGTAATTGACTGTGAGTGTTCCATAATTTACAGTAATATAAGATACTGTTGAAGTCTCTCTGGATATTTTCTCACCAGCCAGTCAAGATTTTTTAACTCTGTGCTGCTTGGAATGATACCATTACTCTAAGTAGGTGACTGCAATATGTTGGTAATCCTGTGTGATTAAGAGCTGCTGCAGTCCTTTGGGATGGGTAGCAAGAGCATTTTGTAGAGGGTAATAGAATGTCTGGAAAGGAGTAGTAATGATAGAGCTGAGAAGTAGCAGGTGTGAAGGATGGCTTTTTTAAAACACAGGCTTAGTCAGAGCTCTGCAGATGCAGTTGTCAATTCTTTTATGTTTCCTCATTAAAATCCTGTGATATGGTGAAGGATTCAGTATGGTTCTTGGGCCTTTACTGGTACAGCAAAACAGAAAAGAAACTTGTTGCTAGCTGTCTGCATGCCTGGCATAGCATTTCCAAATTGAGAATATGCTACACAAAAAATGCATGCCTTCAGTCCATCGTTTTGTCTGTGAAGGAAGGCAAAGATGATTGAGTCTCTGTCAAGGAAATCTGTGTCTACTGTCATAGTTACCTGTCGCAGGTGTCACTGCCTGCACATAATTCCTTCCTCTAGACAGATGGGCTGATGCTGTACATGGATAGCATGTTCTTGTTTATATATAGGGAAAGCAAGAGTGGTAAAAATCACAGTTAATCCCAGCATATGAGAGATTGCTCTTCTGAGACTACAAAACTGGCTTATCTCTTTGACCTCGTTGGTCATGACAGCTTTGGTCTAAAGGCTGTGACCCTTTTGATTTCAGTAGGGCAAAGCATATGAGCAGAGCCTGTCCACAAAGTTACAGGCTGCAGGATCAGAACTTCAGAAGCAAGCTGAAGCTCTTTATCAAAGGGGGAAACCTCACTACATGAAAAGGAATTTTGCCAGGCTTTTATGAGGTACCCTTAATACGATTCCAAATGCCATATCAGCAGTATGTTGGAAACCACACCATTGCCATGTTTTGTTGTTCTGGGATTATTAACAATGTCCTTATTTCACATTATTTATTTCAGATCACAAGACTAGCTCTGATGCTAACTTGTCAGATGTCAGGAGAGCATCAGAAAAGACAGACCTCATTTTTAAAACAGAGATACTTTCTGAAACATTAGAAGCTAACAAGCAGTTGATATTGGTGCTTCCAGGAAGAATATCATGTGAGGTGAGGTTTTCAGATGCGAAAATCTTTGGGATAACAGTCAATGTTGTTCTCTTCCTGCTGCAATCTCATTCTTACTGTAACAGTTTTGAAAAATAGCAGATAAGGGGCCAAAATGAGAGTACATTGAGATTGCAGTGGGATTTATTTTGCCTTTGGGTCACATCCATACTGCAGCCAAAAGATTTACAAATAAAGTAGCTCTGATACAGCCTCTGTGGGATTTTATCTCTGCTAGAATCATTTGGAAGCTTGGGCAGAGATATTACTGTCGTGTTTAGAAGTTTAGAAGAAGCATGTAGTTAGGGACTTCTGTGGAGATGTGGAGTGTCTTGGCAAGAATCCATGATGGGAATATGGGTACATGCATATGTGCCCATACCATAGGTTACACAAGTGCTTGCTTTTGTGACCATAAACCTTGTCTGCTTTGAAATGAAATCAGAAATATTTATATATGCATATCTGTATGCATATCTAATGAACACGAATGTTCATATGTGTTTGTTTTTAATTGGAGTTGCTGTGAGAAAATAAGTAAAACATAAACAGAGGAAGTACAATATCCAGCACTCTATTCCTTTATAAAAATGAGTGGCCACGGTCAGATAAGGAGATTGCAGTGTACATGGAATATCACGTATTTTGCTTGTTACCTATCTTTCAAAGATGACTTATGCATGTGTGGTGGTTTAGACCCAGCCAGTAACTCAGCACCATGCAGCCATTTGCTCACACCCCCACCATTTTCCCACATCCCCAGGGCATGGTGGGGAGGAGAACCAAAAGCATGTAAACCCCACAAGTTGAAATAAGAACAATTTAGTAACTAAACCAAAGTAAAATATGGCAATAATAGAAAAAATACCAACAATAACAATAGTAATAAAAATAGGAAACAACAAGAGAAAAAATGAAAGCTCAGAGAACACAACTGATGTTCAGTACAGTTGCTCACCACCTGCTGACTGATGCCCAGCCTGACTCAAGTAGTAATCTGCCCTTCTGTGTAACTCCCCCCAGTTTGTAAACTGGACATGATGTCCTGTTGTATGGAATATCCCTCAGGCTAGTCTGGTCAGGTGTCCTGATTCTCTTCTCTCTTGGCCTCTTGTGCCCCCTCCTCAGGGTAAGCATTACTTAGCAACAACTAAAACATCTGTGTATTATTGACATTGTTCTCGGACTGAAGCCAAAACACACCACTGAACCAGCTACTGGGAAGATAATACTGCTACAGCTGAAACCAAGACAGCACATAGTTTTCCTGTTGAGATCACTTGAGCTCTAAGGGAGTAATATTCCCTCTGGTTCAGAAGGCAGTAGAGGGGTATCATCTCACATTACCTGCTGTTTCTGTCTTTACTGTCAGTTCACTGTAAGAGTGTGAGTGAGTATTTTAGGTTCCTATTGTCAGGCTGAATGTCATTCTTGTAGACTATAAAGTAGAATGGCCTTAGAAAATGTAACAATTCACCTACATATTAATTTAAAATACTGTTTTAAACTACTGTTAGGTAAGCTGAGTTTAAAATACTACATTAATTGTGCCATTTATATCAGTAAAATGATAAAGGAGAGCACTGAGATGGCATCATGGTTTGGTATTATGATTTTTCTGTATGAAGCTGTTGGTAAAGGACCTTTCCTTCCAATTTCTGTTTTCATTTGCATTTTACACTTTCAGTATAATTTGCTGAAGGACTTAGGGGAACATATGTTAATTTTATAGCCCTGGTGAAATATTCATTTTGTTGAAAGATGAAATAGATGATGAAACTTTAGAATTCAATTCATAGCAGATAATCAATGAATTAGGACACAGCTAGCCTCTTGGACTAAGAAGATCAAGTACATGAAAGCCTTAGGTAAGAAAAACATTTTTTACCTTTAAGTAAATAGGAAACTTTGGACTCCCTTCACTTTTTCTGATCAGTAATTTTATTTCTCACTATTTGTAGGTGTTTCCTGTACATGGGTTTTGCACACAGAACATTTATTAATAATGCAGAGGAGCAAGGCCTTGTGATTTATGGGAAATGAGGTTCTCTTAGATTGTTTTTGTGTGGTTAAATGGCAGGTGGCAGTCTTAAAATGTCATTGATTACTCACAGAGTAACAGTCTTCAAAATCACTGCCATAAAATGCAAAGCTAATATTCTTATTACTCCATTACTAAAATGTTTCATTTCATATTTAATGCAGTAAATTTGACTATATTCCTCTCAAATTCTTACTGATACAGGAAATAATTTATTTTCTTTGTTCATGTCCATGCGTTTCTCTGTATCACTCAGCTCTGATGGTTTCTAATGATTTTTTTTTCCCAACTGCTCCAGCCATAACTAGTTGCCAACAGTTTCAGCTATTTAACAATAGTTTCTCTTAGGAGATCTCTGCAGATTTAACAGCCCCACCTCTCCCCACTCACTTGCTGTGAGTTAAGAAGTAAAGAATTTTTCACCTAAGTAGTCAGAGTGTAGCTTGCTACTACACTGCATGCTGTGAATTCCCAAAGGAACTGATAGAATATTTTGTTCTAAAGCCATTGCACTAGGATAGGAAGAAATATATACATATAGGCTAAAATTTTCAACAGTTGCTTCTTGGAGCTACATTTGGGTAATTCTGTGGCCTGATTTTTATCCTGAATACTGTTCTGAAATGATGGTTGCATATGATCTGAGAGTTCTTTATTGCTGTGGTGGTGCAGAGAGTTTGTTTTTAGAGACCTGATTGGGAAGTACATGACCAGCTGGAAACTTCCATCTGTAACTGGATTTCAGAGAAGGAAAGCTGAAGTTCTCATTCACAGATCTTAAAAGATTCTTCCAGAATTATTCTGTAGCAACAATGTTGATCACACAAAGGCTTCTATAGTGGATGAAAAAATAAAATATGAATAGTAAATGAAATATTCTGAAAAATTTGGCAGAGATCTGCAGAGTGAGTTTAATTTTGTTTCTTTTATCATTTGTATTTAATTGTTCTCTCTGAAGGCTTTTTTCTGTTTCAAAATCTGGGAAAGTTGGAAGTTTGGAGTACCCTTTTTAATAAGGATCCAGATGAACTCATGTCAGAAATAAAAAAAAAAGGGGGTGGGGGGGCAGTTTCCATTGAAGTGATTTAAGGTGATGTTCTATTCATTTAGTTTCTTTGGCATTATTACTCCTCTTCATTTTCAGGGTTGCCCATTTTTATTCTTTCTGTGGGCAGAGTTAGAATTCTGAGAAAACCAGGTTAGTGCTGGCATGGCACAGCAGGATGCCTGGCACAGTGAATACTAATGAATTCTAAATGTGCTCATAAAAAGGGCTCATGCTGCATATACAGAGCAAGCCATACTTAAGTAACAGGCTGTAGAAATGCTACTTTCTTTTGCTTTCACTAGGTAAACAACTGGAATGGAAGTAATTATACTGCAATTTCTGCAGCCTAGTTCAAATTCAATTTTGAGAACCTTGTCTGCAATTAAGAAAAATGTTTTGAAAGATGAATAGCAATTCCACTATTTGTAATAAATGAACTTTTCCTTAATCTGTAGGCATAAGGGAGCTGATTATAGGTCATCAGTCTATCAAAGGGAAGTTGAAAATTTGAAGCATACTGTTTTCATCTCCTTTCTAACATGAAGTAATGCAGTAGCTTTGTTTTATACAGATTTACAGATACATATTTTCTTTTGTCAGCTTTTTAATTTTAAATTGAAAGACTTGGATAAAAACCTGACTACACTGAATCATCTGTGAAACATAAATCCAGTTCATTGGCTCTATGCTTTTTCTGTGAGGTTTTCCTGGGTTTTACCCATTCCCTGAGCTCTCTGGTCTGGGCCTGTTAAAATATTTTAAGCTACTGTTCTGATTGTGTTTTAAAAGATTTTCCTGCTGGCCGTGTTTATGTAAATGTGTATTGTGGAGGAGTCGTGAAGACCACAGCACAGATCGAGTACTATACTGCACTAGAGGAGATAGAACACATTTTTAAGAAAGTGGCTGACCCAATAGCTTTCACTTGTCAGGTAAGTTTACTTCTGCATTTTTAATTAAATAAAAAAAAAAAAACCCACAAGCGCATATATGAGCTAAGACATAATACACAGTCTTTTGATTGTGCTGTAATGGGTAATGGTTCCATAACAGGCTTATGATTACAGAAGCATGTCTTTGAGATGTCTAGCTCTAAAGCAAGTCAGGCAAGTGAAAACAAATTTTATGTCTTTTTTGGTTTTGTTTAGAGAGTGATATAAACTTTGTGCTTTATATGCCCAATTAACAGCATCCTGCATTACAGAGGATGAAAATAACAAACAATGATGTCCCTCTCCACTGAAATTGTTCTTTTTAGTATGCTCTGAAACCAATAGAAGCAAGTAATCTTAAATCACATTGTACTTGGAGGGTTATTACTCATTCACGAGCAAACGGGATTTTTCTGGCATAGCTTGTATGGAAGACAGTACGTTGCTATTCATGCAGAGTCCATTTATAGCTGCTGAATTATCATTCATGTGATTTGCTGGTTGCCATGCAGATTCTTTGCATATATTTAGAAAAATTCAGGTTTTGAGCTGAGTGCTTTGCAATATGTCCTTTGCCAATGGCATATACAAAATAATAAGAAAAGAAAGCATCTATTGAGAAAGGATGGAATCTCAAGTATCATTTTTTGAATGGTGGGTAGCCCAAGAAAACTTGTCATGATGTCTATATTGTAATTGCAAAGCCAGAACAAAAATAATAGTCTGTGTTTCCAGTGCAGACAGTCTCATTTTCCTGTGACAAATCTACCATATCTACCACCTAAGGCATTACACTCATAACAAAATGATTAATAAAAAATGATGTATTGCATTATTAGTGTTCTGTTAAGGATGGGGGTAGATTCCTTCCAAGTACAAGTCATTTTGGGTTCTAAGAAAACACAAGGAAAATAGTGCAACTCTTAAGTACAAGTGCATTCTTAAAATCTTCATGATAACCATCATTCTTTAACTTGTATTTTGAAAGACATGGAAGTAAGTTTCTAGCAGGTTTCATCTACAATTTTATGCCTAAGAAGTGTGTCATAATGATTAAAAAATTGTAACTACAGTGGTAACCTAGATACCTACAACACACCTGGTATTTCCACTGGAGATTTGTTTGTGTTATTTAGGAGTTTGAGCCTTCACTTAACCAGCATGACTAATACTTGGTAAGAAACTTGCAATTCAAATTATATTCAAATGCAAAAATAATTCTGTGCAGAGCAGTAGTGCACACCAGGAAATATAACTGTGGTATTACGACTATCAGGCATGTTTCACGATTTCTCATCTGGATAATAAGCAAGGGTTTAAAGGAGGTGATCGTGTTTGCCTGTTCTTAATTCTATTGTTTTGGCAACTGAAAGATTAATGCCGAGAAAATCTTTCCAATCAGGTAAGTTGTACAATCCACACAGTATCTTGGCTGCTCTGTGGGTACAGGATTACTAATGGCAATCTTTTTGTAAGTGTACATACGTGCTGGAAGATTTGTCATCATACTTAATGGTACCTGCTGGGCCATGAAGTGAGGTACACTAACAAGCTAGGTAGCTAAACTTGCCACAGACTTTTAAAATACTTCCAGCTCTCACGTAAACCTGATTTAATGGCAATAAGATACATTGTAAAGATCCAATTGAGAGAGCATGATGTAACTTAATCTTTAAAAATTTGTTCACACAAGGAAAATCAAAACAGATTTGATAATAATTAGTATTTCCATCAAGTAGCAGGAGTAGTAGTAACCGTTATTTAACCAGGATAATTGAAACCTTTGAGACTATCGGCTTATTTGCAAAAGTATCCTGGGGCAACAGTCATTTATCTATGGATAACAATCAAGCAACCAAACACAATGGAAAACAAAACTGAAATAAAATAGAAAAGCTTACAGCAATTATTGATCAAAGCAATATCATTCTGTAGTTCAGAGAGAAGTTGAAGATTTTAAAAAATGCTTGCAATCTGAGAAGTATCTCATCATTAAAGTTCTGTGAAGAAAGCAAATTGCTACAGTAATGTATACCACTGTGCTTTGGTAAAAATGCTTTCACTGTATTGTATCCTGTGTTGTCAGCTCTTCCAGTTACTTTGAGATGCTATCATCATTGGGATTATTGTCCCCTTCTTCGCTTTGTCCCCCACTAAAAGCCAAACACATAAACAAACTCCAATAAATAGGCTTACCCCTATCCATTCTTTTTACTGATGGTCAGGTCAGTTTTTGTAACTTAGTTTGAGACCAGCAAAGAAAGGTACTGGTGCACTTAGAATCAGTCTCTTAGAGAGCAGTATATTAACACTATAGAGATTAACACTAGCCATATTTTAGAATAAACGTATTCTGAGGGTTTTTTTTTCCAATCATGTTTTTGGATTAAATTCTTTGCCACATCTGGTAGATTGTAATTTTCTGTGTTTGAAATTTCTCGAAATTTAAAAAGCTTTTACCAGCATTAACAAGATATTCGAAACAGTGAAATAAATATTTAAATTGTATGGAAATAAATATTGTAAAAAATGAAATACATGTCCGCATAAGTTTTGAAAGAAAAAAACCACTTGAAATTTTATAGTAAAGTAGGAAGAGTTGGGATTATAACAGCTGAATCATAATGCTGAACTTCATTGCTATCAGAATATATGAGGGTAGGCATTGGCTGAAGGCTGTGAATTTTCTTGTTCTCTTTTCATACAATTTTGCATAAAAAAAAATCCTTCTCTTAGATAGTTTCTGTACTTACAGTAAACCAGTGTCCAGACTGATTTTAAGGTTCCTATAATTCATAAATACACTTTTTCATACTTCATATCTTACTTTTCATCAACTTCTCATTTCAACATTCTCCTGGATTTGCATGCTGTATTGATTTTTCTCTCAGACTTTACCAAATGCAACTATTGATTCCATTATTTAGCATTTGGGTTTTCAGGTACAGGTTTCTTAGGTTCTAAAAAACAAAATTGAAGCTAAGGTCATATCCTTATTACTGAAATTGATAGGTTTATGTTGGTTTGAGTGATTCAGAAGATCTGGAGAGATTCAGGGAGTTTTTATGAGAGACTTTGGTTGAATAATACTCCTATGATTCTGCAAGACTTGATACCTTAAAGGACTTTTTTATTATATTCATCAAACAGGATTCCAATTATAGTGGATATTGAAAATGAAAAATAAAAATAAACTTCAGCTTTTTCTATGAAAATTTGTAAGAAATGGCTATATGGCTTATGTGGTGATATTATGTATGCACCTTTACCTGATCCCCAGAGATATTTACTTTGAAACAGGTTTTTAATATTTCAATCCTCTAAGCCACATCAGCAACTGTTATTTTAAAGTGTTTCTTTTATTTCCTCTATGTATGAAATCTGTCCATATTCTATCACTGGCTAAAATTGTCAGAAATGCCTAAGTGATTTTTAAGCCTTGCCCATTCTTTTTGGTAGAAATCTAGACACTGAAGTGCATACAAAGTAGTGTCTGGTATATAAGAACTACTGAAGAAGTTCACCTTTATCTAAATTTAACCTTGTTAGTATTGCTAAAGCCATGGGGGAGTATATTATTTTACTGACTGCGTTTCAGTGGTGGATATTTTCAGAGCTTTGTTAGCAGTTCTTAAAGAATGTAGATCATTTTGTTCACAAAAGTAGCAAAATATGTGCTTGTTCTTGTCCTTTTCAAGGATGATTTTTGGAAACCCAGGTGTGGTGAAGCTTCTCTGTTGTTTGCACCTGTGTCTTGTTGCTTTGAAAAGGGGGAGGGAGTGGAGATAGTGTCTATGCCTGGGGAGGTGGTGCTGAGCAAGGATAAGCTGCTGGTGACAAGCTTTGGGATAGGTAGTAGCTTTTGCAGAAGGACTAGGATGGAAGCATGGAGCAGAGAGAAGCTGGTTGTGCTTCAGAGAGTGTGAGAAGAATTGCCTACAGACCAGCTGCCTTAATTATGTGTGGCTCCTTAAAAGAAGAACTTGCCTGTAAGCATGCAGGGAGAATGTAGTGCTTTTACTTTTCTGCCATGTTTTAAATCTTTACTCAGATAAAATGCGGGCTTTTGTAAACTCACGCATGGTTCAGTATTCTCTTGCAATGTACTTTAAGCACAGTTCTACTTCTGTTGGCTTTGGTGAAGCTTCAGTGTGAAGTTTAGGTACATAGTGTTGGGGGGATTTATTGGGAAGATTTCATGGGCTTATAAAGACCTGTGTAGGGTACACATTGGAATATGTAAATGCATCATACTTGCAGTCTGTGAGTGCTGTGCAGCTGGAATGGGCAGTAAAGCAGAAGTCTCTAAATTGCACTCCTTCTTGGTGGAGGTGACCTGTATGTTGGTATGGAGCTAGATAGTGCAGTGTGGTCCTATTGCTGTTCTGTTTTCACTGGTATTTCAGCTGCTATTTTCATGTAAGTACTGGAACAGATTTTCCTGTATGTGTGGAAAGACTTGAGCATAGATTTTAGGGTTTTTTTTTTTTAAATAACTCTGTTGTAGAGTAGGAAAGCAATGCTACACATTATCCTTTAGTTAACAAGATAGCTTATTAAGTCATTGCTAGAGCCTTCAGCTTCTAGATCCCTGGAGTAAGAGAAAAAAATTGAGGTGGAAAACTTGAAGCATATCCCATTGATAGCTTTATAAGAAGTTTATTGTCCCTGACTTTGAAATCATGGAGTGGGTAGGCTGGTCACTGGAAGGCAGGCCTGTTAAAGCATGAGAAATTGAGCTTCGATTTAATCTGCTCCCTTTGGGAGACCAGGAAAGTCTAGTTTCTGTCTTAACCTCTTGTAAAACTCAGCTAGCCTGATGTGGTGAACCTATGCAACTATTTATGGCCTTAAAAGCTTTGCTGCAGGTTCTTGAAGTTGTGTGCTGCTCTTATTTCAAGGAATTGCTCCCTTTCTGATTGCAAAACATTGTTTTATCCCATGTAAATTTGTCTGAGTGCAAGGAGCTATAAGCTCTTAAGGTACTTCTCCCTGTACCTGACTGAATAAAAAGAGAGAAGAAAGGTTTTCTGCCTCAGCTTGTATTAAAAGCAGAGGAGCTTTGTAGGCAAGATTACTCTGAGTGCTTGTTGAAAAGAGACTGAGAGTTGTTTATTTAGCTTTAAAATACAACAAAGTCTGAAATGGATTCTGTTTGAAATTGCTCCTAGGGTGTTTCAGGACAAATGATAAGAGGCAGGTGTTGCTGTTTATTCATTTCCTTTGGAACGGAGAGGACTAGCAGATAGAAAAATGTGTAAGAAGTGTCCCTGCCATTTCAAATGGAAATTGAAAATACTTCTTCAGGTTTATTTTGCCTAGAAGCCCACCTGTAGGTTCTCTATATAGTTGAATTTCTGCTATAGTGTTGCTTCAGTGAATACCAGTTCTTCACTGGTATTCAGGCTCACAGGTTTGAGTCTCTTTCTTCATGGCACAGTATCTGCATATGAACTCATCTGAGCTAGTTCCTATGTTACGACTTATTTTTGTCTTACTCTAAATTGAACTCTTTTAAGGGAGTACCAACGATGATACTATATCTAAGAAGACCCTCGTGGAATAAGAGAGAATAATGTTTTTTCCTAAATAAAATTTGATGCTATTGCTGTTAACTTTTAAATATAATGTAGTTATTAATAAGGTCGTGGAGGGTGTTACAGATGTTTTGGAGATTTTTCATATCCTTTCTCAGTTCACGCCGTGAGTCTGACATTCAAGTTGTATCTTTATTCTCGAAGGTAAAGGTAGAGAACTTTTGTGGGTTTCATTTTGTTTTTTGTTTTGGGGGTGTTTTTTTTAAATGCTGATTGCTTTGGTTATTGAGAACTTAATCATGTACTCATAATTATTGAAAAACAAATACAGGGAATATAATGTGACAGTACAAAAAGGATGATTTACAGAAAGAAATAGGTTACAAGTTCCTAAATATAATCACTTCCTGTTTCATAATCAACATTGGAAAGGCTAGTATTAATTATGGAAAAAGCAAACAATCATATTTTATTAGTAGTAGCTCCCTACCTTCATGAACTTGTCTTCATGTTTGTGAATTTCCCAACGACTGGAAAAAGGGAAATATAACCCCCATTTTCAAGAAGGGGAAAATGGATGACCCAGGGATTTACAGGCCAGTCAGTCCCACCTCTGTGCCTGGCAAAATCTTAGAGCAGATTCTCCTGGAAGGCATGCTAAGGCACATGAAAAACAACAAGGTGCTTGGTGACAGCCAGCATGGCTTTGTTAAGGGGAAATCCTGCCTGACCAATTTGGTGGCCTTCTATGATGGGGCCACAGAACTGATGGACAGGCACAGAGCAGTTGATGTCATCTACCTGGAAGCGTTCTGCACTGTCCTGCACAACATCCTTGTCTCTAAATTGGAGGGACATCAATTTGATGGATGGACCACTCGGTGAATAAAGAACTGGCTGGATGGCCACATGCAACGTGTTGTGGTCAATGGTTCAATGTCCAGCTGGAGACCAGCAACGAGTGGTGTCCCTCAGGGATCAGTGTTGGGACCGGTCTTGTTCAACGTCTTTGTGACAGGGACAGTGGGATTGGGTGCACCCTCAGCAAGTCTGCCGATGACACCAAGCTGAGTGGTTCGGTTGATACGCTGGAGGGAAGGAATGCCATCCAGAGGGACCTTGACACGCTTGTGAGGTAGGCTGATGCCAACCTCATGAAGTTTAACCATGACAAGTGAAAGGTCCTACACCTGGGTCGGAGAAATCCCAGCACAGTTACAGGTTGGGCAGAGAGGAGATTCAGAGCAGCCCTGCAGAGAAGGCCTTGGGGGTGCTGGTTGATGAGAAAATGAACATGAGCTGGCAGTGTGTACTTGCAGCCCAAAAAGCCAACCGTATCCTGGGCTGCACCAAAAGGAGAGTGACCAGCAAGTCGAAGGAGGTGATCCTGCCCTTTTGCTCTTGTGAGACCTCGCCTTGAGTACTGTGTGCAGTTCTGGTGTCCTCAACATCAAAAGGACATGGAACTGTTGGAACAGGTCCAGAGGAGGGCCACGAGACGGAAGCACCTCCCATAAGAGGATAGGCTGAGAAAGTTGGGGCTGTTCAGCCTGGAGAAGAGAAGCTGCATGGAGACCTCATAGCAGCCTTCCAGTATCTGAAGGGGGCCTATAAGGACGCTGGGGAGGGACTCTTCATTAGGGACTGTAGTGATAGGATAAGGGGTAATGGATTAAAGCTTACACAGTGAAAGTTTAGATTGGATATAAGGAAGAAGCTCTTTACTGTGAGGGGGTTGAGTCACTGGAATGGGTTGCCCAAGGAAGTTGTGAATGCTCCATCCCTGGCAGTGTTCAAGGCCAGGTTTGACAAAGCCTTGGGTGATATGGTTTAGTGTGAGGTGTCCCTGCCCATGGCAGGGGGATTGGAACTAGATGATCTGAAGTTCCTTTCCAACCCTAATTATATTATGATTCTATGACTCTAATTCTGGGCAGGAGTCAGATGAAAATTATATCCTACCCATGTACTAAACATTTTCTGATCACATCACACTTATTTTCTTACTTCTAACAGTCTTGGGAATTAAACTTCATGTTGCATTGGTATGACCCCTCTGTCCTTTTCTCCTCAGCATGTCAGTCAAGGAGTTCTTAAGTTTATTTTCTAATTGTGTCTGTAGATACTCCCAGAATTGTCTTGGCCAGAAACAGTTCAGGTATGGGAAGACAAACTTTAATGCAGGGCTGCTGACATCTGAGCAGAGTAAACCAATATCCTCCTGAGCACTTTTCTGCTGTGGTTGAACAACTTTTGGTGCTCAGTGCAGCACAGACTGCATAGTACTCAAAGTAAAATACTCTCACTGTTAAAATCTCTGTAGTTGTGCTTCTCTTGTCACACCAAGCAACGCTTGGCTACCTTGAGTCATTAGCCTTCTTGATCTTGGCCTTCTGTCCAGAAAGAGGCAATCAAAAAAAGATCTCATGGCAGTCAGTGAGTCATCTAACTGACTGCTATCAGTTGCTTATTGTCAGTGATGTTATGACTAGGCTGATGGAACTGAAGCTGTTTCCTACTGGGTGGTGTATGCATTCTTAATGTAACAGAGCTACTGTAGTCTTCATGCTCATCCTGAATTACTGCTGTACTAATACCTTGAATTTATTGGCACCTTGCAACTGTTAGAACAGCTCCTGATTGCACTTCGTTGTTGTAGCTAAATAGAGTTGATAAACACAAATCTTCCTGTCCTTACCCTACATCCAGGAATTCTTAGACTGAACTTCAGAACTTGTTACACCTGTTTTTCTTTAGTTGGATTGTGTTATCATGATGCTTCTATGTTAGAGTATGTCTTCTGTAGCTTTCAACACCTATGTTGCTCTTACTAAAAGTGAGTTTGTAATACTAATTGTTTTGAGTAATTTTATTCACTAATGCCCTGAGCATAAAGTTAAAAATACATATGTAACAATTTCTCTTTTTTTTTTTTTAACAGGCTTTTAAATTTTCTTCTATGGAGAAGCTGGACGATGTTTTGACTTTTTTATTGAAAAGCAAAATGTCTACTTATGAATTCAGCCCCTTCCAGAATGAAGAGCACCATCAACAAGCTAGTGAGTCACTTCTTGTATGTATTGATTCGTATTACTGATGCTATGATTATTATTTATGAATGTTAATAAGACAATTTATTTAAAGCCACTAATAAGGACAACATAACCAGGAAAAATGGGAAAAAGAGTTCTGTGAATCATTTCTTTGTGACTCAGCAGTATGTATTTATACTAGTCTGGATCTTTGAGCTTTGGATTAACTGCAAATTAGCAGCTTTACATCTGAACAAATGTGTACTTATGACAAAACGGGCAATAAGAGACATGAGGAGATGCCTGTACATCAAATATTTTTTTTTTTTCCTCTAGTAATTGGTCTCCCACAATAAAATTTGAACTTGGCTTTCTCAAAGTTTGGTGACAAAAAGGAAATTGGAAAGATTTGTCTACCTGAAGAGGGTAGATGGCTTTTGAACTTAGAACAACAGTAAGATTCTCCTTTCACTTTAGTATCTATGTACTTAATAGTTTCCATTACTTCTGGGCAACAGATAATTACATTATTAAAAAAAAAAAAAGTTATCCCTGTGTGTTAAAACAGGATTTGTCTGTAAAGTAGAGACTATAAGCACAATTCGTTAGTGTGTCAACAGAAGCTGCTGTTAGTACCAACTGGGGGTTCTGGTTGAATTCATTAACCACTTACTGAGGATTCAGATTGGTTTGCAATAAATCAGGAGTGTGATTATTTAGTTCATGTTTTGAAAGCATTGTTATAATGTTATTTCACATGTGTGTTAGACCTCAGCCTTTCTCAGAAACTTTTGGGGAAAAAAACAAAAGCCAAGGAAATACTTAGGGAAGATATGTTTGAGTTGCCTGACTTCTGGTTTTGTGTGCCTGGTTTTGCAAGAAAATAAGCTCAGTACAATCATGTAAAACATAACACATCCCATAATCAATATAATAAGTGGCCAGTATCATGCGTCCTTTCCTTTTCAGTAAGGTTTCTTTGAGGATGGAATTCACCCCCCTTTACTAAATAAACATGATTCTAATTGTATTCTAAAACTGAGATTAAATGTGAGTCTGGGTCAAGTAGACTGCTAAGTGAGGCACATATTATTGACATTTTTCTGTGCAAGACTTGCAGGATGAGGGTGTATAGGACACATCGAAGAGTCATTCCCAATGCGAAAAGTTAGTTCTGATGAACAAAAGATTTTCTACTTCTGTTGTAACCAGTTAGACCTGGGCACATTTGTGAATATTGCTTACCAACCTGCAGTTCCTCCCAAAAAGGCCTGTGCTGTTCAAGAACAAGTTGACTGTGAACTTGAGCCAAATAGAGACCTTCATAAAATGAACTGATGTGATGTGGAGCACAAGAAAGTTCAAAGTTAGATGCCTAGGTTCTTTGTGATAGAAAGATGTGGTTGCAGAGCAGGAAGCACTCAAATGTGCAAAATCTAGGCTCTGATTCACCTCCTCCCTTAAAGATATGTAAATCCATGGTTTTGACTCCTTATAAGAGCATCCCAAACAGGCATTAGACATACCAGGTCTAGTAAAGGACTAGCATCTCCTTAAGATATTTTTGTATCATTTTATTCCAAGCACCATCTTTTCTTCCAAAGACACAATGTTAAATAATAAAAACTAACTAAGTACTTTTGGGAAGGAAATTTAGTTAATAGACAAAAAGTTCTTTGACACTGAGTTGAGTTATTCCTGTATCTCTGAACAAGCAGATGAATCAGCCCTAATTTCATAATTCCTGTATGTGCTGATTTTCCCTAGTGGGATATCTTCAAAAGATACCATGGATCACAAGTATGTGTTCTGGAAATTTGAATCTCTTGCCATCTAAGCAAAGAGAATTCTTTGAGCAGCGCATCAGAATCCTTTCAATATGAAAGCGTCAGCTCCTTTCAATATGAAAACCTAGGGCTATAGGCCCCTAAGCACTTCAACATGTGTGTGATATTCTTTCTTTATGGGATCTCATTTGTTGGACTATATACAGGAAGAAAATTGCATCTCTGCCTAAATAAAGACAACGATGATACTATATCTTGTTGTTTGACTTTCTCTTAAGTTTGTCAGTATTACTCAAAAGATACTGATTTACAAAAGGCAGCAATTGGAAATGGTAAAAGTAGACATGATTTCCAGTGATAGGCATTGGAATGTATTTTGCCATGCATAAGAAGTTTTAATTGCTTGCTTTTGGTAATGTATCCTACTGTAATAGAGTAGTAATGAAAAAGTACATCAGTAATCTCTAACAGAAAAATATCATTGGAACTGCTTGTCAGAAATAAAGCGCACACTTCAGTTCTGAACTGTGCCTTTTTTTTTCTTTTTTTTTTAATTGATTTGTTTGGTTTTGGGTTTTGTTGTTGTTGTTGTTGTTGTTGTTGTTGTACAATATGCTCTCTGTAGTTCTAAAGACCATAAAACTATCTGAACATTGTCAAAATATATTTAGGATTATGCATGGGTATTGCTGACTAACAGTATAGGAGAATTAAGATAAAGACTTCTATTCAGCTTATCAAGGGAAAAAGTATTTTAGTAATGAGTGATATTTAGAGAGATTAATCTGCAGTCTCTGAAGGGGAATACTGGAAGCCCCATCAGATGAGAAAACCAAAGTCAGACTGAACAGAAGTCACTGGAAAAACACTGTGTTCAACAACGTTAACTGAAAGACAGAGCCAAGGCATGTGTGAGATTTTTAGTTGTGGAATTCTCCATCTCTTCTGGAAGTATGTGACCAAAGCTGGAGGTACTATCCTGAATATTTTACATTCTGCACCAAAATGATTTCAGGGTACCTTGATGTATATTTTGTGCCTATATATTCTGGTAATAGAATCTAGTCAAAATGCACTAAAAAGACAAACTTGGGTTTCAGAACTTTTCTTGACCTTAGGAAGCTCTGCTTCTGTTATTGAATCATCATGTTTGGGAATTATCTGTGCATTGATTCCTGTTCAAGAGATGTGTAGTTTACTTGAGGAAAACCCCTTTCTTTTTTGCCACTTTAATGTAATTTGCCTTTTTTACAAGTTATCTTACTGTTTCTCTGATTAAATTCAAACAGGCTTATGATAAATCCTGAATTTGTTCTTTGTAGAAAATACTGCTTTTTGTCACCTAACACTGCTAGCAACATAACAAGACCTATTCTGATTCCTGTAATTCTTTAATTCAAGCTGAAACATCTATCCCAAAAGAGAAACAACCTGGGTTTTCAGCTGCTAGTGAAACAATGGGAGAAAATACAGGCTGGGGGAGAAAAACAGAATGGGGGAAAAGAAACAGATGGGGATTTAAGCGCTTTTTTGGCTTAATTGATATTGACACAGTAGAAATAATTTTAACTGTCTATTTAAGTTGCTTTAAAAAAAGAATGGTAATGTCCTGTATCAATAATTTGGGAAATAAAAGAATAATATCTTCAAGATCTGCAGAAATATCATTACTGTAGGCTGCTCTGTTTGCTTACTGCAATTTTATGAAAATTCCCACAGGCTAAGACAGTGCTACAATACAGTAATATTAGATTTTATGCTCTGTTTTATAGCTGAGGTGTTCCAGAATGCTCTGCAGAGAAGGAATTGAGACAGGACAAAACAACAATTGCCTCTTAACCTTTTGTATGTCAACTAAAACTTTAATTAAAAGCAAGCACTGACCTTAAAGTTAGTTGAAAGTTAAAGAAGCTGCCTTAATGCTCTTAAAAATTTGCAAATATGCCACTTGGGTACTTTCTTTTTAACCTTTCCTTCCTGCTTATGATCACCAGCTAACTAGTTCTTAGCGTAGGTGCCAAACAGTAGCAGCTTTTCTGTTTAATGTTCTTCATTAGGGGACTGCTACTGAGCAAAAGCTGTTGACTTCTAGTTACCCTAATAACTACTACTTTTGTACAGTTCTAGGTATTTAGCTGAAATGTATCAGTTGTTGCAGTTTCCCAGTTGATAAAAGTTCCAGCAATTTTCCCCAATTCAGTGTGACAAACTTGCGAGCTCAAGAACAGTATTTTCTGCCTGAAGCATGTGTGCTTTCAAATAATTACAGCCTCTTCCTAATGTGTATAATACAAAACTTCAGTTAAAGCAGTTAAACACAGTATGGTGAAAATTGCTTTACAGTAGAACACCTTATTTGTCTTAAAAGTTCACTGAATTTTGTAAATCAGCAATTAAGCGAACAATTATTTTTATTTTTTTTTTAAATCCCACACAAATAGATCTTGCAGTGGGTTGTTCTTGCTTGGTTATTTTAGGTCTTACCTTTAGTTGTCATTGATTTTTGCTGTAGAACCTGGAGGAAAGAGGTAACTTCTTCACCTTTGTCAGGTGGTTTGGGAGGGATTTAAGTAGTTAGTGGTGCTTCTTTTCAGGATGAGGGCAAAAAAGAGAGGTCAGGAGGCTTCCATTGTCTTTTTTGAGGTCATTAACCTTACTATATTAATTAATTAAATATGTATTATGGGGAGGAATTTCTGAGAGGCCAGTGCCAGCCCCATGAAGTTCAACAAAGCCAAATGTAACGTCTTACACCTGGGTTGGGGCAACTGTAGGTACAGCTACAGGTTGGGTGGAGAAGAGATTCAGAGCAGCCCTGTGGAGAAGGACTTTGGGGGTGTTGGTTGATGAGAAAATGAACATGAGCTGGCAGTGTGCGTTCACAGCCCAGAAAGGCAACTGTATTCTGAGCTGCATCAAAAGGAGCGTGACCAGCAGGTCGAAGGAGGTGATCCTGCCCCTTTACTCTGCTCTTGTGAGACCTCACATAGAGTATTGTGTGCAGTTCTGGTGTCCTCAACATAAAAAGGACATGGAACTGTTGGAACAGGTCCAGAGGAGGGCCAGGAGAATGATCAGGGGACTGGAGCACCTCCCATATGAAGGTAGGCTGAGAAAGTTGGGGCTGTTCAGCCTGGAGAAGAGAAGCTGCGTGGAGACCTCATAGCAGCCTTCCAGTATCTGAAGGGGGCCTACAAGGATGCTGGTGAGGGAATCTCCATCAGGGACTGTAGTGACAGGACAAAGGCTAATGGGTTCAAACTTCAACAGGGGAAGTTCAGTTTAGATATAAGGAAGAATTTCTTTACTGTGAGGGTGGTGAGGCACTGGCACAGGCTGCCCAATGAAATGGTAAATGCTCCATCCCTGGCAATGTTCAAGGCCAGGTTGGATGGGGCCTTGGGCGTTGTTGTCTAGTGTGAGGTGTCCCTGCCCAGGATTGGAACTAAATGATCTTAAAGTGCTTTCCAACCCATCCATTTTATTATTCTATGATTTCTTAAGATGTGAAGATCCTCTCTTTCTTAGGGTAAGCCTGATGGTGCTGTATTGACTGAAGATGACATGAGGCTAGTGCCTGTGGATACAGGGCTTGCTTATTTTCTGTATTATCAGTATGCCACCGTATGTTGATACGTGGAAAAGTTGTAGGTACGATGCTTTTAGTGTGTGGAGGGGCAAAGTGACAAGGCAAAGGCCTCTTAATCCAAGCTGGTGATGTACATAACTAAAGCAAAAATTACACATCTCTCTTGAGCCTGAAGATTCTATGATCCAAAAGTGTTGTGATAATTAAATGAAATGGAATTTTGAAATACAGGACCAGTAGACAAAGCCACGTGCCTCCTTTCCCCATGAGTTTCTGGTGTTTGTGTGGCTCCTTCCCTCTACACCACAGAGTATATATGAGCCCTCTGTGGGAATAGCTGGTAGAAGTTGATGTCTGAAACTGTTCATGGCTGGAATGCAGAAACAGCAGTCATCATGGCTGCAAGCTTTATCTTCCCACACTGTTCATTGCTGAATCTCTTCACCCTGCAGGAGCAACTGGGTTAATCAGATGCTTAGCATTAATTCCATGAGGGAAGAGGAAAAGAAGTCTGAACTGAGATTTCTCAACTTCTAATCCCAATCTTGTTAGCATCTAGCCTAGGCTGGAGGTTGAATGTTATGCCCAAAAGAAAGCAGCTGAAGTCAAAAGTACTAGGAATAGTATGATGATGTGGTTCGTCAGTGTTTGCGTTCCTTAAAGGAAGTCTCCCTAGGTGGTCTCTTGAGTTGGAAGCCTGTATTTCTTGTCAATAGTGAAGAGTTTTTAGTTGCTTATTTGGGAATGGGGACATTTTTGTTAGCTGTGGTTGTCAGTTTAGGTGGTAGGACTGGTGTGACATGAGTCAGCTGTTTTCAGACAGCTCTTTGCTCCTAATGCATCTGTACGGTAGGAAGCCCCAGAAGCCACATGTGTGCTCGTCTGATACGTTTCATAGAAGCTGCCCATGTTAACCACCCTGCTGTTTGAGGCCTGTGTAGTTCACATTTCTTTGTACAACAAAATAAGTCTTTGGGTTCTGCTCATTTTGGCAGAGTAAAAGCGCCGTAACTAGAAACAACATTTTGAAGCTGTATGATTTTGCAGCAAAGCTCACATAGCCCAAAAAGTTGTGAAGGTATGCAGGTCAGATTTACCTGAATACTCATTCTCAAAATAAAAAACAAATGAAACTATTTCTACGTCTTGTTCTTGGCGAACGTGCTCTAATGTTGTTTCTGTGGTGTTAAAAACATTTGTTTTGCTTAAGTCTTTTTTGGGTATTATGTAAAAGATCTCACTACCAATGCCGATTTTAAAGTTTTCATACCTGAAGACAACCTCTTTTTTCTCCTTCTTACTGCAAGGAGTAGTATTGGAAAAAAGTTTGGTTTAGGATATTGATTTACTGATTTTTACCATCCTCTATGGATGGCTGAGGTATTTCATTTGTTAATGATGTAGTCTGCTGTAAAGTTCAAAGTATGTAAGTGCAGCAGTCCTGCTTTAATATCAAATCTAGCTACGGAGGAGCGGAGTGGTAACCAGAAGAGCAAGCTTAATTGCAAAGGAGCAGAAGGGTTTTTGAAGTTTCTGGGATATCTCTGGTTTTTTACTTGGAAAATTCAGTTATAAGCCTAGAAGATGCTTCTAAATGCCATTGTCTCCTTTTCTCTTTATTTTGATGATAAAATCATAGCATGCAGTCCATTGGAGATATAGGCTTGATTCTCCTTTTGAATTTGTAACCAATTGTTTCAGGTATCAGTAGCATGAGTGGAAATTCTTTTAGAACATGTTATTAATACTTTGTTAATACTCTTTTTACTAGCTTCCTTTGACCCTCTAGGGTCTGCTAACAGGATGCAGACTATTGATTAGTTTTCATGTAATCTGCTCCTTAAAATAGCTGCTCAACACCTCAACATTGCTGCACATTGAAATTTAATTTTTTTTATAGAATCCTGTGTAATGTGTAAAAGTACACTTGGCTTTACTGCGGTGATCCCAGCCTTAAAATTACTTGCATACATTTTTACTGCTCATGTGACAGCCCCTTAAGTTGGTATATATTTGCCTCCATCTGTGCAGAGTGAGGTTAGGTTTTCCCTGCAGTCAGCAAAGTAGTGACAAGAAGTCAAACGGCTATATTCTGGTCTAACGTTTAGATATCTTCTACAGAATGAAGTCCAGTTTGTGGAACTTCAGTAAATATGTTGAGCAATGCTACTACTACGAAGTCTTTTTTCCAGCATATGAAGGGCTGAAAATGCAGGACGTGTGCCTGTAGGACAGCTGATGACTGGAATACGAAAGAGAACTGGAGAAAGCCATAGGAAACTGTGTAGATTCCCAAGTTGTAGTCCTGCTGGGAGACATGTGGAAAGAGTTTGTCTGGAGTTGAAGAAATCGTGAAGTTACAACAGAAATGGGCAAGTTGAGCACAAAGAAATTACCAAGACCAACTGATATTCATAAGAGCTCTGAGGAAATTTTGAAGTGAAATAGCTGGATTTCTACCAGTACTGTGCAGTTTTTCAGTCCTGTAGTACTAGAAGGTGTAACTATGATGCCAAAGCCCGGCTTCTCTGGGGACCTTGAGAACTGGAAGCAGGTTAATGCATTGTCTCTACCAGATGAATTAATAGTTGTAATGAAATAATTTTTTTGTAAGGTGAAGTCTTGCTTATAGATTTCTTAGAGTTTTTTTATAAGAGTCATCAACCCTGATCAATTCAATCAAGTCAAGTCACCACATGGATGAATATCTGGCCAAACCCAGGAGGCAGACAGTTGGAAAAAGCCTAGGCTAGTGATACAAAATGTTCACGGTAGTAAGGAGGAGGTCTAGTTGGGGAGGGGATGGGAGAAAGGCTGTATGAGATTTAGTAATTGTGCAGTAAAATGTCATATGCTACTCATTGTAGGTAGAAACAAAGTGATGCATGTGGAAAAAGTGGTCCTATGTTGTCATACAGAATGAGAGGCTTTGAGCAGCCTATTAACACTGAGGAATAAGACCACGCATTTCCATGATAACATCACCTTGTTGCTAGGCAGCAGATCAAAAAGCAAATGAAATACCAAGAATTATTAGAAAAGAAATAGAGAACAAACCAGGACATAATTATGACAATGCATAAATTACATGGCTCATCCACAACTTAAGTATCATGTGCAGCTCTTGTCCTGTCATCTCAAAATAGATATATTAAAGCTGGAAAATGTTCAGAAAAGAGCAGTGGGGGTTATGGGGTTGATTCTCTGTAAGGCACAGTTAAGTAGACTGGAGCTCTTCAAGAAAGAATCTGGGAATGAGTAAATCACTTAGAAGTGCAGAGAGGGCAGAGAGGGTTGGAGAATAGCATGAATTAAGGATTGTCAATTGAACCTAGCAGGAGCCAGGTTGAAAATAAACTAGAAGAAGCAGTTCTTCATGCACTGGGTAGTAAAGGCTGCCAAAGACCCTGAGGGTGCATGAAGTTGGTGGTGCCTGGAGCACAATGAATACATAGTTGGAAAAGAGTTACATTTCATGCTGATATATAGACAAATAGCTGCATAACGAACCAAATTAGAGTATGAAGGCAAAGGGAAGTATTGTTTATGCTTGATCACTTTTTTTCCTTCTGTTCTTTGTTGTACTGTGTAACTTGTGGCCTCTTGTAGAGCTGGAATACAGGACTATGCTGAAATGATAAACTGACTTCAGTTTAGGTTTGTCCCAGTCCTCCGAGGTGAAAAATAAAGTCTCTGATAGAAATGAATATCATACTTTTTCAGGTAAATCCTAAAAGACCATTATCCAATACATAAATCTTTAAATTCCCTGAGTTTTTCATTACAGGTAAGCAAAATTTTGCAAGTCTCTGGTAGTCATGGGAATTTTCATTGAAATTTAATTGAATTTAATATGAAAAGAGGGCCATAAACCTATAAAAATGCCTAACTGAAATGCTGCAAACTATAAATATTCCTAAAGCATTAAATAATATACACCCAAGCAAAAGCATTTCTTGGCTGTAGAATTTTCTTCTCCTTGCAAGAAAACTTATTTTTTAATGGATCTTAAATGCTTTAAAATCCTTCTGTCAAAACAAAAAGATTTCTTAGTTAGACTAAAGGCTCCTTTGTTATAATATATATGTGAATTGTAAAAATGTTAGTTAGAGGAATTGTTCTTTGGATAGAAGTTCTGTATTAGCAGTTTGATAACTGTGATTCCATAGGACTAATATTCAAAGGAATTTTGTAAAACAAGGTGTTCTATAAAAGTAAAACTTCTTTATGAAAGCTTTTGTTTCCATATACAGGTAGCTATTTGGAAGAATTTCCTACTCTCCTTCACTGTGCAGCCAGATTTGGGTTAAAGAACCTTGCAACTTTTCTACTCAATTCTTCTGAGGCCACAGAGGCCTGCAAAATAACCAACAAATATGCAGAGGATCCAGCAACTATTGCTGAGAAGCATGAGCACAGGGAACTAAGAAAATTAATCAGAGAATTGTCAGTAAGTCCATGAGCTTTTTTCATGTCATCTGTAACCAGGTGAGTGTGATGTACTACTGAGATTCCATAGTATGACCTCTTGTAAAACCTAAGAAGTTGCAGTCCTTCTGTCTGGAAATATTATTATATTGTCCTGTCTCAAAAAGGGTTCCAAATGGGGTACAGCCACTTTCTTGATGCAGTGTCATAATGGAGCTTTGTGTTGCTTAAGTATTGGGCATGTAATGGAAGGAGAACAGCAAATCAGAAGTAACACATCACCTGTCTAGATTGGGTTTTTTTTCAGCACCCAAGCAATGATTGTATTGTAAGTAGTCTAGCCCAACTGTCTAGAGTAGAAGATAAGCATCTATCTAAGAGTCACTTTAAAAGTGACTTTGAACTCTCTTAATATTGCCACTCTTCAGCATTCGCTCAGCAAAGAGTGGTTGTCTTGTCTGCTTCATTGTAAAGGAAGGCTAAATTGTACCATCCTTTGTTAGATGTAGTAAATCTTTCTTCAGCTAGGTATGCAGGAGTCGTTTTAGGCAATAGCTGGCTTTTCACATGCAATGTAATAATAGAATTAAGGTTTGTGCGTAGTTTTAGCATGCAAACTATTGCTAATAAAACCTAACTGAATTGGCAGTATGAAAAGCAGTATACTGTAGTAACATTTGACAACTTTAACCAGTTTTAAGTCTTTATCGTGCTAACTATAATATGAGCAGAGATGATAATTCTTGCCCCAAAGGTTTTAAAGCCTAGAGAACAGATCAGGTAAATCATACATTGAAAGAAAGACATGGTATGAACATTGGCATAAATAAGCTGATGCTGTAAGCAGCTTTGCTTGTGGTGTGGGGTTTTTTTAACTATTTTTGGTAGCAGACTCATGTTTGCAGACAAATGGTAATGATAGACATGTAAGAGGAAAAAATATAAGGAGTGAGAGAACCAGAAGTTTCACTTTTCTGTTAGCCAGTCACCTTGATGTAACCATGGATACACATAACACCAAAGATGACATCTGAAGAAATAAATAGGTCTGTAGGTTATGTAGGGGATAATGCTTTGTATGACTAAGGAGAAAGATGCAGAAACCTAAGGACAATTTAATATGGTAAAAGATATCATAAGGAGTGGAAACACTGGCTGACTGAGGTTAGTTATTAAAATTCTAGAAGGACATGGGGATTGATCCAAGTTTTTTCTTTGATACAGTTGGCATCTAATGTAAAGGTGAAGGATAGGCATTGGAAAAACTGAAGATAAGGTTACTGTGATCAGTGCTGAACCATGAAGATGCCTTTAGCAGTGCTTTATGGGCAGGTTTGGGGTTTTTTTCAGTAAGTTTGAGAGGAAGAAAACTGCAGACCCTAGAGCCTGGAAGTAGTAAGGCACTTTTGGTGGTGGTCATGGTGTTAAATGAGAATATGCTATTTATCTTTTTGTTGTTGAACAGCTATGGATACAGGCTTTGAAAACACTGAGGGTGGAGAATATCTGCAAAGCAGGCATTTATCCTTTCCTAACACTTAAAGCTCATACCTAGTTGAGGATGTGATCTGTTGTGTTTTCTGAAGTGGTAGAATATGGCCTTGCGTTTTCTGGACAATGAATCTGAGCAGATCTCAAAAACACTGCAAAGTTTTTTCTATCAAGGGAGTGCAAAGGGATGTTGTACAGAGGTGATACTTTTATCTCATTTTTTGGTACTGTAGTTGAGATGAGGAAAATGTGATCCCCTTTCCATCCAGTGTAAAGCTGTCCACAAAGCCATAGTTGTCTCCCAGTCATCCTTGCACTGGTCAGAGAGTTCCTGCCAGTAGCAGTCTGTAAACTCCAGGGCTTGGAGTTTAGCAGTTTGTCTTGAAAAGAATGGAACTATGTTTCTCAACATCGCTACCTGTGGATCTGGCTAGATGCTGTCTTTGTAGGATCAGCTACCCCTGGTACATGCTATGTGTAAAGGATTGGTAAGACTAGGCAGAATGTGAATAAGGTGGTACTTAACTCTTAGTGAGATACCTAGATTTCTTTTCTAAGATGGTCACATGAGTCTGAGCTGAGCATAGAAGTAGAGTTTCCATGCTTAATTTGTCATGTTTAGTGATAATGGCTGATTCTGTAGAATATTTTTTTTCATGCTAGTATTGTAGAAATTCACCCTCCTGCACTTCAGACATATCTTTGTTGTGCGCCCCACATGGGGCTGGAGGCTTCCAAAATTGGGCAATTTTCTTTTTGTGCTTATAAATGCACTCATATTCAACCTTGTGCTATAGTTTGGGGCATCTGTAAGAGGAGATATAAGCACACATGGTATAGGCAGACTACAGCTGGTGTACATCAAGAGATTACATTCCACTCCTATGGTCTTTCTAGATTTTGGTAGACTTTGTGACTGATGCAAGACAATGTTTGTGAGGGTGATATATTTCACTCTAAAAATATGTAAAATGTGTATACTTCTGATTAGCTTTTCTTTTTTAGTAGGATAAATCAGTATAAAATTATCAATCTGAAACATGGATTTATAATGATAACTGACTATACAATATAATTTTTCACTAAAAGGGTTCTGTCATGATACATATCTGCTATTGCTTGCATGGAAACAGTTATCAATAGCTGATTTCTGCTTGGTGACTGCTCTCCCAAGCGTGAATACTTTTACTAGCACTGAAGTGTAAACAACTCTACTACCATCATAAGAGTGTCTAGTGTGATTCGGACATGCTGTGGTACTACCCATTTTCAGTTGATTCCTATGACATGGCTTTCTAATGCAACACAAATAAAAATTGGAGCATGCTTCAATTTTGCCAAATGTGTAGTACAGTATTTTAAAAATGTTAGCTCCAATCACTGGAATAAAAATGGCTTATTTGTGTCTTTGTAATAGTGCACTTAAGAACAAGAACACTTATTGTACTTCTGTAATTGGTGGGAATGTGGAAAAGAAATATTTGCACGGCTCTGAGCCAAGCAGAATTTAGTTTAACTGCGTTCCAGGAACTTCCCGGTTCAATACAGCTGGAGTATTGAAATTGCTCATTGTTACAATACAAGTACTTTTGTACTTGGCATACCTCTCACTGTTTTAAAAATGTTACCTGTGTTTTGCCATTGCTTTAAAGAATAACTCCAAAATATACACAGTACTTCATTACTTCTGTCTTGAAGAGCAATAGAGTTCCAGAAAAATAACTGTATAAAAGCATACATTCACTTTGTCCAAAAGCTTGGAAAGTGTCTTTCATTTGCCTTTGTGCTGGAGAATCCTTAGGGGAGTAAGAATTCCCTGAGATGGTGTGAGAGAGAGAGAAGGAGAGAGAACAGCAGAACTGACAACACCACAAAGCTACCTTTGAGCCCAGGGCTTTGCTGCACAGCTCTGTTTGTGGCTGGTAAGCACATCAGTGGCTGGTAAGCACATCACAGCAGTGATGCAGCTGTGCAGTTCCCATGTCCTGCAGGCTTACTGGAAAGGTTTTGTGCATTCGGTTGACAAAAGTGAACTGCTGGAGCTGGTTAACTTGCACACCAGTTCATCTGCATGGCACAAGTTCCTTGTCCTTGTTTAAAGGGAAAACCTCTTTTTCTGCAGCTGGACACAACGTTGATGTGTGGAGTGTTAAAAGCCACAGAAGACATATCTGGAATGCCTGGCAGGCATGCTGGGAGCTGACCTCCCGATTTGTGTCAAAACAAAGCACAGGGGAAGAAGGATCACTTAAAGTGTGTCAGGCTTCTGTTGAAACAGGTGTGTGAATGGAGGGGAAGAGATTTTCCCCTTTTAGTACCAGTGTTACATGCAGGGACGTTAAATGCTAAACACCATATCTTTTAAGACCCTGTATAGTGTATGTCCATGAATGGTAGCATTTGCTATCTCTGTCAGAAATGCTGCATTTCAAACACTCGTCGAAAATGTCTCTTGTTCTGAGGGAACACTCTAAGACTTGAACCATTTATGTTATAAAGGTACTAAATGGATGAAGCTGTCTCTTAGAGTCTTCACTGGGGATTATGATAAAGCACGGTCTAAAATGTGCCAGCAGTTTATTAAGCAATTATTTCTTGCATTTTAGCACAAAACCACCTGAATGGAGATTCACTTCCAATTTCTACATGTTTCATTATAGTTAAAATGAAGTAATTCCCTCTTCTGTAGCATAAAAGAGGGATATCGTTTAATGTTCTGCAATAACATCCTCAATTGTTAGTCCTGTGATTTTGTTCCTCTATACAACTGAGTACTTGAATATTTTCCATAATTGCTTTTAGGCTGAATTGCTTGAATCAGGTGTGTGAATTTAAAATGAGTGGGAGACATTCAGTAGGAATATTGGCAGGAATCCTTGTCTCAGAGTATCTGAACCCATCTGAAGGGGAGATGATGAGCCTTTTGAGCTTAGCTGATCCAGCTGATGGCTCAAGTGTCAGTAAGAAAGGAATACTTTTGTTTTCCATTTGCCACAGGCTCAAAACATCTGCAGTCAGCTGTTAAGGGTACTCATCACAGGCAGTACATTGTTAAGCTGTGGTACTTTGCCTGGATATCTGGGCCCTATTTCAGATGTTTGTGTTTTGCATATTCTCTGTCCCTGAAAGCTGCTTTGACACTACTTTGTTGTTCTTGTTAGGTGTGGTCTTCTAAACCTACGTAAAAGTTCTGCCACCAGAAAATAAGGAAGGCACTTAAATGAAGTTCTTATCTAGTCCACAAAGCAAGACTTTGAAAAACAGGAGAAAATTTCTAAGCATTAGGTAACTAAGGAGGGGAGTATGCTCAATTTGTGACCTAGTAACTTAAAACTGGAGGTCACATTGATAGCCATTTTTGTCATTTATGCTTTGGTATGGGCGTAATTCTTTTGTTCCAGCACTTTGGGTTGCTAATTTCTCCCTTCTTTTACTAAGAACTGTGCTGCTGAGTGTGTCATAGTCAGAAAGATTACTACTTGTAGTATACATCACAGTTCCTAAGAAAAATGCAATTCAGAAAGTGTTTTA